ACAAAAGCTGTTTCGGCATGCGGTGGCTGGGCATGCGGGCTACATGACCCAGCCAACGCAGCCTTGCCAGCCGGAGGAGCTCACCGATGGGACCTTGCCCAGATCTTTCAAGGATTTGTGAGCTCCTCACACAATCCAGCCTGGTTAAACCCAGGATGGATCGTAGGCAGGTTAGCCTAAATGTTTCTGACCGGCGAAGATGTTCCATTAGGGGGGTCCACGTTTCGCAAGCGTAGAGAAGGGAGGGAATGGCCGTGGCCAAGAAGACCTGAAGCTTAGTGCGGAGCGACAGACCAGGTAGCTTCCACACAGCGTTACGCAACCGATGAAAAGATATTGCCGCTCGAATGATTCAGAGTGAGACCTCTGCTGTTAAACTGGAGCCGGTCATAAGCACACTGCCCAGGTATGGGAAACTCTCCACTCTCTCCACAACTGCCCCATCACCGATTGGGAGTTGTGGGGGTGGAGTGTCCGATGGTACAAAATACCCAGGCAGGTGCTTAGTTTTGGTGGGGCTGATGGTAAGGCCCCATCTCTTAGTGGCACGCTCCAGTCTCAGCAGCAGCGTCTCCAACTCTTCCTCTGAATGAGCAGCTATTACCAAATCATCGGCATACATAATGTGGTTCAGCAATAGGCAGCCATACCTTGACCGCACCCGGGCATCGATCAGCCTCCCATTATATCTGTACCAAATGGAGATTCCCCCGGTACAGCTATTGAAGGCTTCACGAACTACGTGGTCAAAATAGATGTTAAATAATGTGGGAGCCAGAGAACATCCCTGTCGCACCCCAAGGTGTACAGGGAATGGCTATGACTCCCGGCCACGTAGTTTTACCCGGGCCCGCTCACCATCATGAAGGTCCTTAATGGTCATGAGCAGAGGGTCAGGGACTCCAAAAGCACGAAGAACAACCCAGAGCCCAGGCCTACTGATGGTATCATAGGCCTTGACCAGGTCAATAAAGCAGAGATGTAGGTCTTGTTGGAATTCCCTACACCTCTGCTGTAGCAGACGGACAAAAAATATGGCATCTGTGCAGGACCGCCCTTTCCTGAAACCGCATTGGGGCTCCGCAAGCATCTCCTCAGTGTGCCTGGCGAGGCGATGTTAAATAATCATTGCCAGGACCTTTCCCGGCACACTGAGAAGTGAGATGCCCCTGTAGTTATTACAGTCTGTGCATCCTTCCAATCCTATGGAACCCGTCCAGTGGTCCAGACTGTAGTTATGATGTCATATAGGGCAGTCTGTGCACAAACGCCACCCTCCCTCAGCATTTCCCTTGGGAGATCATCTCTGCCCGCTGCCTTTCCTGGTCTCAGACTCCGGATCGCCTTCAGTACTTCCTCAACAGATGGCACCTCAGCCAGCCACTCACAGGGGGTGACTTCTTCCAATATTTGAGGCACCGCAGCCTCAGCAGGGTCATCCCCACTTTGTGCCACGATGTTTTCCTGGCTGAGGGATTTCCCCTCCCCCAGAAGCTCACAGAAATGCTCAGCAAATCTGCAATCCTGTACCTGGGGGTCAAAGATTGGATCACCGTTCTTTCCCCTAATGATGGTAATAGGTATGACGCTACAGGTTACTTTTTTGATGGAGTTAAATAGAGATTTGTGATCGCGGGCCACTGAGGCAGACTCCATCTCCTCAGCAACCCGCGACCGCCACCCATCCTTGGAGCGCCTCACGGCTCTCCGAACCTCCGAGCGAAGGCTGCGGTAAGCCTCCTCATTCTCTGACGTGGGATTCTGTAGCCGATGGCAGTGGGCCTGTCGCTTTTTCTCAACTATCCTGAACACCTCCTCCGTCAGCCAGGGTCTGTGGGGAGGTCTGGACCGCGTACCCAACGCAACCAATGCAGCTGCATGAGTCACAGTCCTAAACCTCGCCCATTTACCCTCGACATCAGGAGGAGTGGGGGACGATGCCAACCCCAGCCGCAAGCGATGATGAAATTCTCGCTTGCAACTTTCATCAGATAACTGAGACCAGGCCACTTTAGGTTGGAATGGGGTCCTGGGTGTACACCCACCATCGGAGTGGAAGAATGGCAGGCGCATTTTACAGATGACTAGTCGATGGTCAGAGGGCAGATCAGCTCCACGGTAGGTCCTGGTGTCAAGGACATGTGCTCGCATCCGCTGGTCCGTCACTACGTAGTCCAGCAGATGTTCTTGCTTGGACCCGGCATGCATCCATGATGTTGTGTGGATGCGCCGATGCCGGAACAGCGTGTTGGTAATTACAAGCCCATGGGCTGCACAAAAATCTAGCAGCCTCCTACCGTTGTTATTGAGTTGATCTGGCCCATACCCTCCAATAACTCCAGACCAGGTGCCAGCATCATGACCAACTCGGGCATTGAAGTCACCCAACAAGATGGCTCTATCCCGAGGGGCCACTTTAGCCAGCACCTGCGACATTAGGTCATAGAAGGCATCTGACTCATCGGCTTTGCCTGCATCCCTCCACGGATGTTCGTCTTCGGTGGGGGCATAAGTAACAACGACCACCACTCCTCGCCTCCGGTTGATGGGAAGGCGAGCCCAAAGTAGCCTGGGGCTTACAGCTTCCCACACCTCACCGCCACGCTCCCACGCCCCCTTCATTATTTTGTTCAAAAGAAGAGCCACACCCTGTTGTTTGGCAGTCTGCTGCCCCGAGTAGAGGACTGTCCATCCCTCATGGTGGCAGGAGCCAGAACCGGTCCACCGGACCTCCTGAATGCCACAGAGATCCAGGCGGTACCGGTCCAGCTCCCGACAGAGGAGTGGCAGCCTCTCCTCCGCAGTGAGCATTCGAACATTCCACGTGGCCACCCGTAGTGGTTTTTCGTTGTTTCTGGAGGAGCCCCGAGGGTAGAGATTCAATCTCCTGGCTCCGCCAATTGGGGTTTGGCCAGGAGACGTTATAGGCGCCTGTCCCCCCGGGGCCTCCGGCACAAGCTTATTAGTTACATATTTCAGTTTAACTCGTGGATTAGTGGTAATTTATTGAAGGTGGAGGGGTTACCAGCCCCTCACACCCGTCCAGAGCCCCCCTTTAGCCCCTGTGGTGGTCACAGACGCCATGAGGGGAGGAGCCAATCGGAATTGGCCCTCCCCCCACAGCATTGTCCACGACAGAGTTGCCTACACACACACCTACACACACCTACACAGACACACCTACACACACCTACACACACAGACAGACACACCTACACACACCTACACACATATACACACGTACATACCTACACACACACACACATGTAGATACACCTACAACAACAACAACAACCGCCATTCGCCACTAAGTGGCGGTGACGTCACCACGACGCTTGTGCCAGGCTATGTGCACCTTGAGGCCACGTGAAGTGTCGAACGCCCGCGGGCAGGAAGTCACGGGGCAGACCCAGGTGCCACGGGTCGACTGACTGAGATGACTACTGGCTGATGCACCACCTGTGCCCCCTACTGTGCCAACCTGCTGTGCTTTAGCCACCCGGCGCTCCGCTCGTTGTTGTGAGCGTCGCTCCTCCGCCCTCCGTTGTTGTTGGAGGGCGACTACCTCCAACTGCCCAGTAGCGTCCTTCACGAGCCTCCTCCAGAGGCCGATCTTGACACCGCTGGTACCAGTCATCGGCAAGTCCACTCAGCTCCACGTCCTCCTGTACCACATCACTCCATCTCTTCTCTAGCCCGTGCCGCGCCCGCTTAGCCCCCTCAATCCGGCCGAACAAAAGCTGTTTCGGCATGCGGTGGCTGGGCATGCGGGCTACATGACCCAGCCATCGTAGCCTTGCCTGCCGGAGGAGCTCACCGATGGGACCTTGCCCAGATCTTTCAAGGATTTGTGAGCTCCTCACACAATCCAATCTGGTTAAACCCAGGATGGATCGTAGGCAGGCCAGCCTAAATGTTTCTAACCGGCGAAGATGTTCCATTAGGGGGGTCCACGTTTCGCAAGCATAGAGAGTGTAGTGTAGTAGTGTATAGTGTAGTAGTGTATAGTGTAGTAGTGTATAGTGTAGTAGTGTATAGTGTAGTAGTGTATAGTGTAGTAGTGTATAGTGTAGTAGTGTATAGTGTAGTAGTGTATAGTGTAGTAGTGTATAGTGTAGTGTAGTAGTGTATAGTGTAGTGTATATTGTAGTAGTGTATAGTGTAGTAGTGTATAGTGTAGTGTAGTATTGTAGTAGTGTATAGTGTAGTGTATAGTGTAGTAGTAGTGTATAGTGTAGTAGTGTATAGTGTAGTAGTGTGTATAGTGTAGTAGTGTATAGTGTAGTAGTGTATAGTGTAGTAGTGTATAGTGTAGTAGTGTATAGTGTAGTAGTGTATAGTGTAGTAGTGTATAGTGTAGTAGTGTATAGTGTAGTAGTGTATAGTGTAGTAGTGTATAGTGTAGTAGTGTGTAGTGTATAGTGTAGTAGTGTGTAGTGTAGTAGTGTATAGTGTAGTAGTGTATAGTGTGTAGTGTATAGTGTAGTAGTGTATAGTGTAGTAGTGTATAGTGTAGTAGTGTGTAATGTAGTAGTGTATAGTGTAGCAGTGTATAGTGTAGTAGTGTATAGTGTGTAGTGTATAGTGTAGTAGTGTATAGTGTAGTAGTGTATAGTGTAGTAGTGTATAGTGTAGTAGTGTATAGTGTAGTAGTGTATAGTGTAGTAGTGTATAGTGTAGTAGTGTATAGTGTAGTAGTGTGTAGTGTAGTAGTGTATAGTGTAGTAGTGTATAGTGTAGTAGTGTATAGTGTAGCAGTGTAGTAGTGTAGTAGTGTATAGTGTAGTAGTGTATAGTGTAGTAGTGTATAGTATAGTGTAGTAGTGTATAGTGTAGTAGTGTATAGTGTAGTAGTGTATAGTGTAGTAGTGTATAGTGTAGTAGTGTATAGTGTAGTAGTGTATAGTGTAGTAGTGTAGTGTATAGTGTAGTAGTGTATAGTGTAGTAGTGTATAGTGTAGTGTAGTTCACAACAACAATATTAAAGACTCAGTAGCTTTATCATAATTTTTATTCACTGTTCCATCAAACATCGATCCTATTGATAGTGACGTAGTGAGGTAGTGTTGGGGTTGGTGGATCACTGAGTGATGGGTGGTAGGGGTTGGTGGGCCACTGAGTGATGGGTGGTAGGGGTTGGTGGATCACTGAGTGATGGGGTTGGTGTGTCACTGAGTGATGGGTGGTAGGGGTTGGTGGATCACCGAGTGATGGCTGGTAGGGGTTGGTGGATCACCGAGTGATGGGTGGTAGGGGTTGGTGTGTCACTGAGTGATGGGTAGTCTTAGTAGAGGCATTGGTGGATCACTGAGTGATGGGGTTGGTGTGTCACTGAGTGATGGGGTTGGTGGATCACTGAGTGATGAGTGGTAGGGGTTGGTGGATCACTGAGTGATGGGTGGTCTTAGTAGAGGGATTGGTGGATCACTGAGTGATGGCTAGTCTTATTAAAGGGGGTTGGTGGCCCACCAAGTTATGGGTGGTAGGGGTTGGTGTGTCACTGAGTGATGGGGTTGGTGGATCACTGAGTGATGGGTGGTCTTAGTAGAGGGGTTAGTGGACCACCGAGTGATGGGTGGTAGGGGTTGATGTGTCACTGAGTGATGGGGTTGGTGGATCACCGAGTGATGAGTGGTAGGGGTTGGTGGATCACCGAGTGATGGGTGGTCTTAGTAGAGGGATTGGTGGATCACTGAGTGATGGGTAGTCTCATCAAAGGGGTTGGTGGACCACCGAGTGATGGGGTTGGTGGACCACCGAGTGATGGGGTTGGTGGACCACCGAGTGATGGGGCCGTCTGGAGCTACTGCTCCACGCAGGCGCACGCTGCCGGCTCCAGCACAGTGGCCGTGCGATCGGGGTTGGTGGGACACGCGATGATCCGGGGAGCCAGGGGGCCGGACTCGGAGCAACTGACGCCCAGGCGACGGAAGGAATCTCCACTCCACTCGCTGGAGCTAGCGCACAGCCCCTGACACACACGCACAGCCACCTACACACACACACAGTGACACACACACAGTGACACACACACACAGTGACACACACACACAGTGACACAGTTACACACAGTGACACAGTTACACACACACACTGACACACACACACAGTGACACACACACACAGTGACACACACACAGTGACACACAGACACACACACACAGTGACACACACACACACAGTCACAGAAGGAATCTCCACTCCACTCACTGGAGCTAGCGCACAGCCCCTGACACACATGCACAGGCACCTACACACACACACACAGTGACACACACACACAGTTACACACACACACAGTTACACACAGTTACACACACACACAGTAACACACACACAACACAGTCACAGAAGGAATCTCCACTCCACTCGCTGGAGCTAGCGCACAGCCCCTGACACACACGCACAGGCACCTACACACACACAGTGACACACACACACACACACCCAGACACACACACAGTTACACACAGTTACACACACACACACACAGTGACACACACACACAGTTACACACACACACAGTTACACACACACACACACACAGTGACACACACACACACAGACACACACACAGTGACACACACACACAGTTACACACACAGTGACACACACACACAGTGACACACACACACACAGACACACACACAGTGACACACACACAGGAAGGAATCTCCACTCCACTCGCTGGAGCTAGCGCACAGCCCCTGACACACACGCACAGGCACCTACACACACACACACACAGTGTACACACACACAGTGACACACACAGTTACACACACACACAGTTACACACAGACACACACAGTGACACACACACACAGTTACACACACACACAGTGACACACACAGTAACACACAGACACACACAGTCACAGAAGGAATCTCCACTCCACTCGCTGGAGCTAGCGCACAGCCCCTGACACACACGCACAGGCACCTACACACACACACAGTGACACACACACACAGTGACACAGTGACACACACACACAGTGACACACACAGTGACACACAGTTACACACACACACAGTTACACACACACACAGTTACACACAGTGTCACACACACACAGTCACACACACACACAGTTACACACACACACAGTGACACACACACACAGTGACACACACACACAGTTACACACACAGTGACACACACAGTGACACACACACAGTGACACACAGACAGTGACACAGTTACACACACACACTGACACACACACACAGAGACACACACACAGTGACACACACACACAGTTACACACACAGTGACACACAGTTACACACACAGTTACACACAGACACACACAGTGACAGAAGGAATCTCCACTCCACTCCCTGGAGCTAGCGCACAGCCCCTGACACACACGCACAGGCACCTACACACACACAGTGACACACACACAGTTACACACAGTTACACACACACACAGTGACACACACACAGTGACACACACACAGTGACACAGTGATAGACACACACACAGTGACACACACACACAGTGACACACACACAGTGACACACACAGTGATAGACACACACAGTGACACACAGTGTTACACACACACACAGTTACACACACACAGTTACACACACACACAGTTACACACACAGACACACACAGTCACAGAAGGAATCTCCACTCCACTCGCTGGAGCTAGCGCACAGCCCCTGACACACACGCACAGGCACCTACACACACACACACACACAGTGACACAGTTACACACACACACTGACACACACACACAGTTACACACACACACAGTTACACACAGTTACACACAGTGACACACACACACACAGTTACACACAGTGACACACAGAGTGACACACACACAGTGACACACACAGTTACACACACACACAGACACACACAGTGACACACACACAGTGACACACACACACAGTGACACACACAGTAACACACAGTGACACACACACAGTGACACACACAGTGACACACACAGAGACACACACACACAGTGACACACACAGAGACACACACAGTGACACACACACAGTGACATACACACAGTGACACACACACAGTTACACACACGCACAGGCACCTACACACACACAGTGACACACACACACACACACAGTGACACACGCACAGGCACCTACACACACACAGTGACACACACACACACAGTGACACACACACACGGAAGGAATCTCCACTCCACTCGCTGGAGCTAGCGCACAGCCCCTGACACACACGCACAGGCACCTACACACACAGTGACACACACAGTGACACACACAGTTACACACAGTGATAGACACACAGTGACACACAGTGACACACAGTGACACACACACAGTGACACACACACACAGTGACACACACACACAGACACAGTTACACACACACACACAGTGACACACACACAGTGACACACAGTGACACACACACACACACAGTGACACACACACAGTTACACACACACAGTGACACACACAGTGACACACACAGTGACACACACACACAGTGACCCACACAGTGACACACACAGTGACACACACACAGTGACACACACACAGTGACACACACAGTGACACACACAGTGACACACACACACAGTGACACACACACAGTGACACACACACACAGTGACACACACAGTGACACACACAGTGACACACACACAGTGACACACACAGACACACACACAGTGACACAGTGATAGACACACACACACAGTGACACACACAAACAGACACAGTTACACACACACACAGTGACACACACACAGTTACACACACACACACAGTGACACACACACAGTTACATACACAGTGATAGACACACACACAGTGACACACACACATACACAGTGATAGACACACACACAGTTACACACACACACAGTTACACACACACACAGTTACACACACACACACAGTTACACACACACGGGGTTGTAAACTCTCTGGTCGACAGGAAGTTGTTGTGGTAGTGGTGGTGGTGGCAGTGGTGGTGGTAGTGGTGGTGAAGGTGGTGGTAGTAGTGTTGTTGTGGTGGTGGTAGTGGTGGTGGTGGTAGTGGTGGTAGTGGTGGTAGTGGTGGCAGTGGTGGTGGTAGTGGTGGTGGTGGTAGTGGTAGTGGTGGTAGTGGTGGTGAAGGTGGTGGTAGTGGTGGTGGTGGTAGTGGTGGTGGTGGTAGTGGTGGTGAAGGTGGTGGTAGTGGTGGTGGTGGTAGTGGTGGTGGTGGTAGTGGTGGTGAAGGTGGTGGTAGTAGTGATTGCTGTGGTGGTGGTAGTGGTGGTTGGTGTGTATGTGGTGGTGGTAGTGGTAGTGGTTGTTTTGGGTGTATGTGGTAGTGGTTTTTGTGGTAGTGGTTGTAGTGGTTGTTGTTGTGTATGTGATAGTGGTTGTTGTTGTTGTTGCGTATGTGGTAGTGGTGGTGGTTGTTGTTGTTGTGGTAGTTGTTGTGTATGTGGTAGTGGTTGTTGTTGTTGTTGTTGTGGTTGTTGTTGTGGTAGTGGTTGTTGTTGTGTATGTGGTAGTGGTTGTTGTTGATGTTGTTGTTGTGGTTGTTGGTGTGTATGTGGTAGTGGTTGTTGTTGTTGTTGTGGTAGTGGTTGTTGTTGTGTATGTGGTAGTGGTTGTTGTTGATGTTGTTGTTGTGGTTGTTGGTGTGGTAGTGGTTGTTGTTCATGTTGTTGTTGTAGCGGTTGTTGTTGTGGTTGTTGTGGTAGTGGTTGTTGTTGTGTATGTTGTTGTTATGGTAGTGGTTGTTGTTGTGTATGTGTAGTTGTTGTTGTGGTTGTTGTTGTTGTGGTTGTTGTTGTGTATGTGTAGTTGTTGTTGTTGTAGTGGTTGTTATTGTGGTTGTTGTTGTGGTTGTTGTTGTTGTTGTTGTTATGTATGTGTAGTTGTTGTAGTTGTTGTTGTTTTGGTTGTTGTTGTTGTGGTAGTTGTTGTTGTGTATGTTTAGTTGTTGTTGTGGTTGTTGTTGTTGTGGTTGTTGTTGTGTATGTGTAG